ACTTGGCACTGTTCTTGACATACATGTTCAGCACGCAACATGTATTAATATTGCACCTTTTGCAAAGCTCTGTCTATCCAGCTCTTACCTACTCAGCGCTAGACTCTCGTAGGCACTGACTACAATGGAGAAGGCTATCCACAAGTCAGGTTTCTCGTGGAGCTTAGAATGCATTTAATCATATAGACAAACATATAATTATGATCTGAGATGAAGCATTAAGAACAGACATGCAGCACCAGGAAGGCATGCAAGCGGTGAACCCAAACTTGGCTAAGGTTAAGGAAGCCTTTCCTGGGAAAGCAGCTCTTGAGCTTGGGGGTGAGAGTCTGGAGAGATCGGCCAGTACGCTTTAAAAAAGAATGGCCAGGAAGTAACAGCATGTGTTTACCTGCCCTGCACTGGAGACTCTGAAGGTGTGGGATTATGTCCACATAATTATGTCCAGATAATCATGTGTCTCTTTATTCATATTTTCTATTCTGTGTTCACCACAGACACACAAACATAGGAGACTGAGTGAAAGAAATCCATATTTTTTTTTCCTTTTGTTTTACATGTGTGGGCATTTTGTCTGCATCTATATCTGTATGTGATTTGTCTGCAGTACCCGTGGAGGCCAGAGGAGGACATTGGAGCTCCCGGGACTAGAGTTACAGAACTGTGTGAGCCACCATGTGAGTGCTGGGAACCAAACTCTGGTACTCTGGCACAGCACCCAACACAACCTTTGAGCAACCACTCCAGCCCAGTGGATGAGTGATGTCTTCAGTTCCTTGTAAAACAAACAAGCAAACAACAACTATATGTAAGTATCCGGTAGAAAACTGTCCTGCCACTCATGAGGCCATAGATACCATTCTAACCACATATACACAGCTCATATAACCAGGAAATATCTCCCCCTAAAAGGATTTAAAGTATCCAGACATGAAAGTCTCAATGATTAGAAGCTCTGACTGTGCCTATAATGACTGTATTATCTGTTGCGCGCACACACACACACACACACATCATCATCATCATCATCATCTTTGCTGCAGGTGTGTATCCAGTCTATCTTTAAATAACCTTAAGTTCTTAATGTAGTATCTTGAATGGACCAAATCCCCTAAAAATGTAGGGATTGAATGACATTCTTACCGAGGGATTCAATGAACAGGTCAAAGAAAATCATGTCCCTCACCTTGGTGGAGGATTATAACTCCACAGCCTAGAACCTCGCTAAGATGTCAAATACCTGTAACTTTGGCACTTGGGAGGTGGACAGAGGAAAGTCAGAAGTTTTAGGTCATCCTCGGATCCGCTTTGAGTTCTAGGCCAACCTGGGCTAGATAAGATCCTTTAAAAAATATATCAACAATATTAATATTCTCAAACTTCATCGGAATCAGGATTACCATGAAGCTTGTTTGGTCTAATCATGGGATGGGTGTCATTTGTGTTACTTCTAGAACAATCTTTAGGAATAAGTACACTATCTTTTTCTTTTTTGTCTCAGACAAGATGCTTATTCCAAAAAGTGTCTGCTCTTGTCAAATGTGTAGGTCCTAGAAGAATGTGAAGCAGAGGCAAAGCCAACCAGAAACAAATGTGTTGTGTGAAAAACAAAATAGACCCGTGTCAACAAATGCCAAAAACAAGCACACGCTGAGAAAATGAAATCTTAAAGCTCAGTCAGCTACTCTCTGTAGGGAATACTGAATGTCAGCTTTCTAGAATATAGAGAAACATTTAGGGGGAAAAAAATCTCTAAAAAGTGTTGGAGAAACAAGGCAGAATACTGTGCAAAGAAGAAATCACCATAGACCATTGAAGGAGACTATCATGCTGACCATTAAAAGGGCATGGCTTTAATGTCCCTGCTCCCAGAGACCACTCAATTGGAAGCAAGCTGTTTCTAGCATGCTGCTCTGCCTGCAGCTTAGAGCCAGCTCATTCTGCCTTTTCAGTTGTTTGATTTTCAAGTTCCTTGCCCATCCCACCACAGGAATGGAACCTCTACAGGGGTCAGAACTCTGTTTAACTTGCACTCAAGCTAGTACACAGCATATGTGTAACTGGGGAGCCTCCGCAGCATGAAGCATGCACATGGAAACTGTACTGTGTGCTGCTGAGCAATATGTGTACAGGCTGCCAAAATATCAAAGGAGACCCAAAGTTAAAAGTACAAGCTCCTATGAGTGAGGAGCTGGTGTGGAGGGGCAGGTCAGAGGTCAGTGCTGGGTGTTTTCCTCAATATCTTTCCAACAGTTCTCTTACTGAACCCAGAGCTCATGGATTTCTCTAGACTAGCTGGTCCATCAGCTCCAGGAATAAACACACACACACAGAGAGAGAGAGAGAGAGAGAGAGAGAGAGAGAGAGAGAAGAAAGAGAGAGGGAGAGGAAGGGAGAAAGAGAGAGAGAGGGAGGGAGAGAGGGAGGGAGGGAGGGAGGGAGGGAGGGAGGGAGGGGGAGAGAATTTGCCAATATGTGCTTTCATATGGGTACTAGAGACGTGAACTCAAGCTTGTATGACAAGCACTTTACTAACCTGACTCTATTTCCCCAGCTCCAAGCCTTATCTTTTATGACAGGAAAATGAAACCAATTTTTAGGAAGGCATTTGTAGTGAGGACCGATGAAGTGATAGTGATGTTGGACAGAGAACCTGGGGCAGGCTTCCATAGAACAGCTAGGTGAGACATCCATAGTAAGACCGGTGAGACACAAAGCTAAAGTGATAGAGGACGAATGAGCAAATATTTGACCACAAATAGAAACTCTAGTGGGAATGTCAAGGCAGAAGACCGAAGTCAGGCTTGTGTCCCTGAAAAGCTGGGGAGGTCCTTGATTGTAGCTCTTCAGGGATGCCCTGTGTAGAACACCAGTCAGTGTCACAAAGGAAAAGCTTCCATGATTAATGTGGTCCCCTAGCTAAGCAAGTAAGGCGAATATATCCGGATCAGGGTCTCACAGAAGGAGTCCTGTCTTTTACCATAAATTATTCTGTAAAAATATTCAAATACAGCCATAAGTAGATCAAAATTCTCAAGTCTATTAAAAGAAAGGAAAATATAGTCCATGCGAGTTTAGACAAGTTGCTTAAACTTACAAAGCTGACCCTCTTTACTGGTGAAATAGGTGATTACCGCTTCATATGTTCTTTGAGAGGAGTAGATGGTCTTTTTAAAGACACATCTGGTGCCTGATGAGTACACTATCTGTGTATTTCCTCTCACTAATTTCCTGTGCTCCCGTGTTTTATATATTGAGCCACTGGACACTGCTTTCTCTTGCAAGTAAAAACATTTGTGAATGGGCAGTTTTCTGAGGCTCACACGAATCCTTTATGGGTGTAAGTTCTGACATTCTATCAGCTAGCCCATCTGGAGTTTACACGTGAGGGAGGAGCAGGCCAGAAGTTTGAATAAAACTAATAATTGTTTGGAGCTTCGGCTTGAGGGTCGATTTTCAAGTCTAGATTAAAGGGATTCGTCAAGTTGTAAGGAGGAGAACGGGACCCCAATTGACAGAGATGGGTTTACATAATCAGGGTTAAGCAGCTGCACGCTAGACAGATGCTCAATAGCTTTTGGCACCAAAATATATTGACCAGCTGGGATATCATTAATGCTTAACAATTTTATCCTTATGACCATATCTTGGCCAATTAGGTTGTCTTTGACCACCAAAGGGTATAACATATTCTGTTGTAAATGCCACATGTATCTCTCTGGAGCTCATATTCTATTACATTGATGTGTTGCATAATACACACTAACTATAAATGCATTTGCTTCTTCAGGGTACCGTGTAAGATGGTGATTTAAAAGAAATAGAATTAAAATATAAAATTAATTTCTTTATAAACCGTGATTAGTCGTTACTCAGGGAAATGTGTGTGTGTGTGTGTGTGTGTGTGTGTGTGTGTGTGTGTGTGTACTAAAAGTAAAGAGATCCAAATCAAGTAATTTCTAAATAAGTATCTGAAAAACTGCTATTAAAAAGTAATCTGTCTGGGAAAGCCAATGCTGTATAATATGTGGACACAAGCAAATGTAAGAGGAAGGAGGCAGTTGCTAAGAGAGAGAGGCTGAACGACTCACACAGAGGCTGCTTGTGAAATCAAAATCCCATGCCCATTGCCATGAGTCCATGAGGTCATTTCAGAAATACTTCTGAAAGACAAACAACAGACGTGTATGTGGCACAGTATTTCCAAGAATTTTTCACACTCTAAAATTTAATACATTACAACATTCAGATCGTGTTCAGAACTTGATATTGAAGAATCTGACGAGTTGAATTTGTCACATATACTCTTACACAATAGTAAGAAGTCCAAACATAGAAACCCAGCTTGCTACAGATTCAAAGGTGTATGAGTAGAAGATTTCACATATAAACCATTTCCCTTTAAAAACGACACACAATGCATTTAGGGAAGTACTGAGTTTCTTAGTAACGTCCATGAGTAGCCTTTGACTCTAATACTATTCATGCATTTTCTTCAGACTCCAGGGAATGGTTCGGTTTCTAGTGCTTGAGCCCCCTCCTTATGTAAACTGCTAAGAGAAGCATCAGCATTCCTCCTTCAAAGTCAGATAACCAACAGTGAGAACTTAATGGGGGGAGTACAAAAAGAAAAGAAAAAAAATATGAGCCACCAAGCAGGCTGCTTCCCACACCTGTGGCAAGAACCATTCAATAAAATCAAAATATTTTTTAGTCTCAGAGGCAACTTTGAAGTATGCAAAATCGATTTTAAAATCTGAGAGCTCAGTGGTACGGCGCATGCCTGTAATCCCAGCTCTCAGGAAGTGGATCAGAAATTTAAAGCCATCCCTAGCCACACGGCAAGTTTGAGGCCAGCCTGAAAAACCTAAGATCCTGTCTAAATACAAATGAAAATGAGAGAGAGAGAACCATTTTTCTTTGAGTTTTACATAACCCACTTAACATTTCCAGATTGACAACCCTCACTTTTTCTGTTGGGGTTCTGTTTTCCAAGGTAATCAGGGGATTGCTTTTGAAGCTGGAAATCCAGGAACGAAAGGATCCTGGAAGGCAGCCGATAGGAGGTGCCCCTCTCCGTGCTCCGTCTTCACCATGCACTGGCATTCTTCTACATGCGTCACCACCTTGACCACGGGTGTAGGGCTAGCACAGTTGAGCCTCAAGCGCACGGTGGTGAATTTGGTGGGCGAGCAGTGGGAGCAGAGGTTGTGGGGATGTGCTCCTTCTCCGGGAAAATGAATGGAACCGCATTTCCCAAAGCAAAGGTTGTTCTGGACAACAACTTTTTCGCAGTCCTCATGAGCAATGGTCTGAAAGGCAAATGGATTAGGTCACCCCAAAGCATCTCATACCTCTCAGGACACAAAAGGATGATTTAGAATAAAGGGCTCTGAACTCTGCACTTGGGGATGTATTTTGAGACAAGGCCACCTCAACAAAGCTTTCTTTATCAGTTAGCCTCTAAGAAGCCTGGGTTAACATGAAAATGACTCCCACTACAGACAACATGCTTTAAAGAATTGTCATGTAACTGGATATAACTGATTGGAGACAAAGAGCCATAATGGCGGCTTTCTTATTTAACCACCGTATCTTACATTTCTGTTACCCATGGTGCATTGTGCACAGCCACCTCTCAATAAATACTGGTCAGTTAATTGCAGAATAGGCCAGACACCATGAGTTTAATTCTGTCCTATTTCACATGAGCTGCACACGTGAATCTGTGAGCAGCAGAATCACAACATGCAAACCTACATTTCATCACCCTTGCCTTGTTCTCATAACCCCATACATCCAGTTTTATGTGTCTTTCAAACTCTCTGAGTCAAACTCCTTAATCTCAATCTAATTAGCAATAGAATTAAAAAGTAAGAATTTCAAAGGAAACTTGATTGCCTGAGTCTTAGGAGCAATTTTCTAATTGCACATGGACCAGCAAAGCAGATATTATTACTTTGTGATTGACTTCTCATAGCTACGCAGGCGGTTGCCTCAGAACACTGCCTGCTTAATTGGGCAGTGTTACTAGACTGTAAAATTTTAGTCTTTCCTGTGCTGCTTCTGGTTCTGTGTCTTTTTGATGCATTTTCTCTATTTTAATTTAGCATTTGGAAAGCAGGTGTGGCCAGGAAGGAAGCAGAAGTTGAATGTTCCTTTGTCTTAAAAGTGCAGAGTTGATCATGGTCACTATAAATTAGCCTGCACAAGCTGGGAGGCAGACAAAGAGATGCAATTTCACATTAAGATAATTTTTTTGAAAACCTATGAGAAACATAAATACACTCTAAAATATGTTTTGCTATTACAATGCCAAGAAATGATAGTGAGAATCTAAACATAGAGTTTCTGTGGAAACATTTTAAACATCAAATAGTTTTTAGCAACTATTAAGGAAAGCCTTCATGAATCTGCAAAGTATTAAGCTTTGAGCATCAGACATGAAAGTAGGGCATCCCATGAGATGACCAGTGCACCCCACCTCAGCTCCCAGTTTGACTTGAGCGCTTTCCTATACATCCCCATGAGTGTGGAGATAACCTGCAAGGTAGTTCTGGCAACTGCTCTAAATCCCCAGTTTCCTGAGAGCATAGCCTTACTAAATGGATAATGGCCAATAAATATATACACGTGCAACAAAGCTCTGGCCTTCAATATGATGGCTGCCGAATACTGACCATGTCACCATTCTAGCGTGAAGCTTTTCCGGCATCCCAGAAAACAATGGAGACATGAGAAGTAAATGGGGGCGATATGGTCACATTTTGCCAAATCCCCAAGGACCAAATCTGGAGTTAGGCAAGGTACAGGCTCTCGTCAGCCCCTTCCCATTTTACCATTTGTCCTAATTTGTCCCCAGTTCTTGCAAACTCTGGCTGTTTTCCCTCTAGAATGCCTACCTGGTTGAAGGGAACTGTCCTGCAGGTCTCCCGGTGTACTTCATGGCTTTTAATTGGCAAGATGACCCCCTGGGAGGATGGGCCCTTTCTGAACATGAAGCGATGCCAGAACTTCTTGGCTTCCTCCTGAAGAGGCGAGCTTTCCACTTTCCTCACATCTGCTGGCTGAGTGAGGGTCTGGATCCCCGATGGGACACGGTTGTTTTTCACCTCCCTTGTGGGGTGAAGCTCTGTCTCGGGTTTCTTCCAGAGTCTTCCAAGCCTGGACAGCATCTTCTCTCTCTGCCTTTGGCCTTCCCCAGCCAGGCTGGTATCTATGAGGTGTGGTACTGCCACAAACAGATCTGGCTTGGCTTCCATGTCCTCATGGTTGGCCATGTGGAGATCTCTGCGACCCCTTTCTAGTAGCACAAAGGAAAAAGAGCTCTGCCTTTGGCAACCATCCACACATCGGCCTGCCTTCCCCAGAGGCAAGAGTAGACATGGCACGAGCAACTGCAGGAAGAGGAGATGCATGCTGCCAGCGCCCATAGACCGAGATAACATTCACAGATGTCCAGGCCCAAAAGAGAGGTTCACTCAGCAGGACTGCAGCCAGGACATCCCATATATGCTACCTGCCTGGTAGAATGGGGAGGCAGGTGGTCAGCAGGCAGGCAAAGCAAACACATTAAGTGTTTGCTTCCATTATGCAGTGCTAATGGCGTCCTGCCTTCACTTTGGCTCTGTGTATTTTTAAAGGCCCCAGTGAAAGCCTGAGACCCAGGGGGTAATTAGCTGGTGGTTTAGCTGTTGTCTGTGAGTGGCTGTACTGGCAAAAACAACTTGCTCTTTGTCTGAATCCCTCATCGTTGTCTTTAGTTGTAAGAAGAAGAAACCGAGTCTGCTAACATTTGTTGCGCATCTGCATTTAGCTGGGGTAGAGTAGACATGGCCTGTGCTTGCTAGAGAAAAGCATCTCAGGCAAAGAAAAAAGACACATTAAGCAAAAGCCCAGGCCTGGGCGGGGGGGAAGCTTACTAAGGATGTCTGCCACCACTGTAATGAAGGATGTTAGCTTGGCTGGACAAGAGCCTTCTTGTGGATTAAAGCTGCTGGTCACAGCTGAGTTAAGGGAATACGTTTTCCTTATCCACATGTGGAGACTCACAATTCTACAGTTAATCCTTTCACATTAAAAAACTGAACACCAAGTGCCAAATTTCACAACTGGCCAGAGATCAGTAAACTCTTCCAGTTGTTTACAAATTTCTCCACAGGATCCCAATTGACATAAGCTGACAGCTCATCAATCAAGGAGGATAATGTGTCCCTCAAGCTGCTTCATCATTATTATTTTTTTCTTTCTTTAACTGAGCTAGGTTTGAGAATGTTGACTACAAAATCAGTCTTGATCAATTTTAAGGTGAAGCTGGAGTGGGAAATCCTTATGTGACTGAATCAACATCTTCTGCCTTAATTCCAAGTAACTGGTGATAAAACTTAATAAAGATCAGATTCAATAAACACAAGCCTTCAGGGATCAAGAAAAAGAGTGGTAAAAGACTTGAAATTAGCTCAGGGTCCAAGAAACATATAT